TAACTGAATTCATTTGTGTAAAAATGCATTCTGCGAGACGCTTCATTAACCTCATGCGACTGTTTTTCATCGACTCTTTTTATGGAGTGGACATTTGATGGAAACGTCTGTCTGCATTTTGGAATGTCAATAAGAATGTAAATTAGGGATTATAGTTGTAAGCTGTGATAATAAGAACCGTTACGTAGAATCTTTTGAATTGCCAGGGGCTCGATAGTTTCAGTGTGCTACCGCTTGAAGTGGTTGAAGCAGTGATAAACGTATTGATTTGATCTTAATGTTTCTGTGGTTTTCATCGAGTGTATGATCGCTCATGGATTAGATTTGAACATGTTTACACAAGGGAACACATGCAGATTTGTTTGTCGGCGATAGCATTGTTGGATATTAGGAAGTGCACAACGTTTCAAATTTCACTTTCGATCGATAAGAGATATTTGAGATTCGATTAATTATTCATTATTGCGATTTCGAGTTGTCGTCACATTTGCGAAGCTCGATTTTCCGTCCTCAAATATAATGTTTATTCAAGCAGACATTATCGCACTCGTCAGCGAGCAAATTGCTTGCTTGTTCTATGACATTTACAGCAGATGTTTTGTTACAAATCAGTAAAAACCATTATTAATGTGCTTCTGAGAGAGAATGAATCCAATGAAATTAATCTACTCCAAAAGCGAATTTTCAAAAAATGCACAGATATGATTGATCAGTGAAATTTCTAAAAATCCAAATGAAAATCAACACTGTTTGTTTCATTGCTCATCACTGACCATGCGTCATGTAGTGCGACGGGGAAATTTTCCGCAATCTCATCAATAATAATCTTTAAACGTTTAGGATTATCGGGTTTTGAATCAGTGGAATATGAGATATGAAATAAAGAACTTAAAATATGGATTCAATCGTTTAGCGTTTATTCAAACTAGAGATATAATTTCTGGACTGAATGAGAAATTTAAGAGATAATTTATATGCTCGCTAGCTTACAATGAGAATCTCGGGGCTATTAATCAACGAATCCACCATTTGAGAATCTTTTCATCGTTTATCGGCATTGAGAATTGTGCAATGCGCATTATGAATCAGTGTTTGCTTCATTCGATATCAATTTGGATGATTGAAATGGATGAATTGCTTCTGTTCCATCTGCTCTTGCAATTAGTCATGTTTGATATTCATAATTCAAATAATTTCCGCAAAATTCATTGCGCATAATGAATATGGTTTAAAGTTACGCTGGAAATTCAATACAATAAATCTTATGGAGTGCCTTTAGAAGAACAGTTTGATGGGTTATCTTTCAGACGCATACCATAAAGTCATGTAATGTGCTCATAGAGATTTATTATGCATCAAGTTAGTGTTATGAATGAATGCGGAATCATTGAGAGTACATACTAACTGTAAGTAGAGTTTTAAAAAAAGTAAAGTAAACAAAAGGGGAAGAGCATTTGAAGAATGCATTTCTTAATGATTGCGGTCAATTTCAGTTGATTTTTTTTCAGTTAGATTTACCAGAACGATTGGTGCGTTCCTCGAGAGCACAGAATGGTAAGGAAAGACGATCCAAAAGTCAGCCAATTCATTCACCAATCCACATCGATAGCGATGATGAATATGGTATGATTTGTGGTCTTGCAGTTTCATTCACGGAATCATACACATAATAACATAATCAGTGGTTGTCATTTCAATTCAAGATTCCATTTTATCACGCAAAATTATTGCATTTCTTGTTTCCATTGAACTTCAATCACCGGAAATTTTTTTGCTGATGTAAAAGCAGACAGCAGCAGCACGCACTAGAGGTTCAAAAAAGCGGCTGCACTATAAATGAATTGTAGACATGACTGAATAGATTATCTCAATTCGTGTCTCATGATGGAGTTTCGATTATTGCGATCAACTTAACGGCACGATTCGGTCTGAAATGAAAAACCACTTTTGTTCACAAATCGTGCACGATTTGACGTCATCATTAGTGATTTTTTTT